CATGGTATTGTATACCTGTTAGAGTTTTATGGTATTGTGAACGAGTTTTAGATTTAGGTGTCAAAAAGAGGTAAAGGCCACCATAGTATCTAGTGTGAACTGGTTTCGTATTGGGTATTCTGTGGTAAACTTGTAAAATAAAGTGAGTGCTCGATTGTATGACCGTCTTGTGTTAGCCGATAATGCTGTATGAGCCAGCATTCTCCCGTGTGCCATTAGTGTTGTTAGTCCAGGATGAGTTCCTGGAATAGTGGTGACCTGTTTGGTATTCTGTTGGCTGAAGGATGTTGTTGGAAGAAAACCTGCAGATTGCAACAAGAAAGGGCATCAGCTGCTGTGTTGTGTATGCCCGGTATGTGTTCACATATCAAGTGGAATTGGTGTGATGCTGCTAGCCATGTGAGTCTCCTAACTAGACTCACGATTGTGAGGAAAGATGACCTGCCTTTGTTGATAATGTTACTCGCTGCCATGTTGTCGGTGAAGCATTTTATGGTCTTCCCTTCCCACTGGTGGCCCCACACTAGTGCTGCTGCCACTATTGGATAAATTTCAAACAGGGCAGAAGTGCTGTTAAAGGAAGCAAGAGTAGTCGTTTCTATTAGCCATTTGTCCCTGAGCCATTCATCGCCAAAAATTGATGCGAACCCTGTGTGTGCTGCTGTGTCTGTCCACAAAACAGGGGAGTTTTCTGTTAATGGAGGGATGAAAAGATTTACCCTGTTCCAATGTGTAAGGAATTCTCTCCACATCAAATCTGCCCTAGCATGGCCGTCAATTGTGATGATGCTATCATTGTGGGGTATGTTTGGTAAGAGTTTAAGGAGTCTTGAGATAAACACTCTTCCTTGTGGAATTATCCTCTTTGCAAAGTTCAGGGACCCAAGCAGTGATCTTTCCTAGAGGTAATCCCTCTTGTGAGAAACTCCACAACCTCTGCCTTGATCCTCTGAACCTTGTCATCTGGGAGACTCGCTTGCATTTTGTCTAAGTGTTTCCCTAGAAATGTTAAGTTGGTGGTGGGACCTACAGTTTTTTTGGCTGCTACTGGGACTCCTAGTGCGGAAAATAGTGCTAGTGTCTTCGCCATGCTCTGTGGTGTGGTATTGGAGTGTTCTAATGTGAGGAAATAATCCTGATAGTGTATTACGTGACGTTCAACAGGAGCCTACTCAGTGTTTGGGGCTACTTTTGGCTCTGAATGTTAGATGGTTAGCGTTTATAATAGTGTTCCCTGTATGGGAAGCAGCTTGAATGTGTTGGATATGTCGGTTTTGCTGATCCAAGCTGCTACCCCAGCCTTTAAGATTGCCTGTATGGCTGCTATTGTGGCATACCGCAGTGAATACTCCTCGGATGGTATGAGTGAGTTGAGGCTAGGTATGGCGACAGAATGAGGAGCAGACAAATCGATTATTAATCTTTTTTTATTGTTGTATTTTCCCGTAGCTATGCCCAAGGGATTGGTGCGCCAGGACGTAAATGGCGAGTTTAGGAATGGCCCGAGCATGAATCCTTTCTCCGTTTCCAACTACAGTAAGTTGTCTACTACTGTTGGTTCTGAAGTGGCCGACTGTAGGTTGTTACATTCTAGTGTGCCTGTGGGGAGTGTGATCAACCCTTTGTGAAAACGTAGTGTGAATCTTGTGACTAGAAATTGCACTAACGCCTGTGAGGGGTGTGCATTTAGGTAGAAAGCTAGGGTGTCAACTTGAATTTTGGTTAGTCATTTCGTCGGGAAAAGGTGGTTTGGGCACATGGTCTTGGCGTGAGCTTGGTAGCAAATCGAGTAGACGTGCAACAATCTGCAAGAGCTGAAACTGCAGCCTCCTGCATTAAAATTGCTGCACAACTGTGCTTTCCCCAAGAACACTATTGGTCTACCAGGTTTATCCCTTAAACCTTTCTGTTCTGACCTGCTGATACTAGGGGATGAGTAGCTGGTGTTGGGAAAACTGGGCTCGCTGGAGCACAAGTTGGTAGTGTGTGCGTTTGATGCGCAGATGGCGCACGCTGGTTGTACTAGCCTGGCAAAGTGGCGACAGAATAACTCGGTGTCCATATGACTCCAATCTATTCTTATGTTAAACTGTGCAAACGTTGCCGCATCCTTTTGTGGTAGTCGTAAAAGTTAGACCCACCGTACTTGTTTCCCAGATCTACCAACTTGTGCATATACAAGTCCAGTTCCTCTCTACGCTGTGGGATGTTAAAGCATATGACGTCCTATACAACCCAAATGCGAGTACAAAATCTGGTATAGACAGTTTTTCACCAGTCTAGGGTCTTTGGCTTTGAGCACTACAGACAGGTCCCCGTAGTTGTAGGTCTTGTGTTCTACCATGTCCTGTGATGCAATGAGTAAGGACATGAGGTTAACATATTTCCCCTCTAGAATATCTTTCTTGATGTTGGGTGGTATCATGTGTGCTGGTGTGATAATGTGTTTATCCACACTCTGTGCATTTTGTGTACCTGTGGCATTTACCTCTGGGACGGTTTGGTTGACAACTAGTGTAGAAGGGGTATTAGGGGGACACGCTGTGGCTAGTGCTGGAGATTCCAATTTCCCCACTTTCCCCACTCTTCCCCACTCTCTGGTTTAGGCTGCTGATAGACGTGACCATGGCTGCCATAGTGGTCTGAGTCCAAGTGAGAGTGTCAAAAATTTGACCCTGGCTGAGGATTATCGGGCTGGTCATCATTATCTTGTATAATTCCGCTTACCTAGCAGTGGCCTGGTACGGTATCCCTCTACGCCTGAGTTCTGCTGCAATCTTTGGGATTGTCCAAGCTCTTAATGAACAGACACTAGAGGGGTCTTGACTTTCTGCAGCTGTGGGAGCCGTAGTTGGAGTAAGAGCTGGCGTGCTGGTTGGTGAGAAATCGTCTGCTTGCTCTGACGCATGCAACATATCATAAATAAGATTTAGATGTGAGTTTTGACTTGCTATGATTTAAATTTTGCACTATCTGGCTTTTAATTGCCGGGTGACGAAGAACTTAACTAATAGTGGGATGGTGAGGCCCTGCTGATGCCAAGTGGCTGATAGAGGTGCTGTCTATGATTTGGTGCTTTGATGCTGTGCCTTTGAGCAAAGGCAGGGTGTAGGCCTCTGGGGAACTAATACGTATTGTTGGGGAGTCGTGACGCCCAAACTAGTGCTCTTGAGTAGAGCGGTACGAGACCACTAGCTATGATTTGGACCATTTGTGCTGAGGATGAGTGTTGGTCTCGCAGGATTATGATTTGTCTTGCCTGTGTATGGGCCGTTTAGTACCCTAACTGCCAGTATAACATTGTTTGGTGTAACTGGTATGTTGGAGACCACGTACCTGCTTGTTTCTCAGAAAAGGGGTGTAATCAGTCGTGGGGCTTCTGGGATTATTAACTTGTGCCACCTGTGAAACCAAGACAAACATTGGTGTCTTTTTTATGCTAAAGTTTGGTTTTAGGATTGTTTTAAGCGATACATACCTGGAACAACAGTTGGTCCTCTATGGGGTGGCCGGTGTGGTTGGTTACTTCTGGATCTAACAACTTAAGGGAATGAAGTGACTTTTATTTAATTTCACATACTTTAAGCATGTTTCTTCTTATGGTATACGTTTGTTTGGACTTGTGAAGTATTGTGACCTGAACGTTAAAGTAACGTTGTTAACTGCTAGCCTTTGTACATATGAGTGGCTTCTAACATAGTCTTACTTCTAGTGTTTGTATCTGGTACGATTAAGATGGTTTAAGGTAATAAGTATGTGTAGGTTATTCTGATTAATGTGTGTCTGTGAGTGTGACCAGCTGCCTTCCTCTTATTACCGAAATACCGTATTATGTCTGTGTTTAGAAACAGATATGGATTGGGAATTTTTTACTTACTGGTTGTATTTGTGAACTGTAGATGTACTCTTTCATGGAATGGTAACCATTGAAACGTTATTTGGATGATGGGGGTTCTGACTGTAATAATTTGAATGACCAAGATTAGTATTTGTCATATTCCCTGTGTGCCTGAGCCTCCCTCCCCTCCTTCCATTGTATAGCACGTACTAGTTATTTGACATACCATATGTATCAGGAGAATCAAAATGACAAAGGATGAATATTCGGTGTGTATAGCTCGGATTCTGGAATACATAATGACTGTGTGAGCATGCCTATTATCCCCGAACTCACATGGCCATAGGTTAAAACATATTACTTAAAGCTTGTTATCTTGAATGGGGAGTTTGACTGTCTGCCCATATACTTATTTATGACTGATTGGCTGTTTTATACACATTGGTAGCAAGTACGTACCCCTATAGATTACTGACTATGTAGAGGAGTTTTAAAACATAAGCGGAGTACGTTCAACAGGTAACTACTATTTATGCCAAGGAAATTTATAAATATTAGCAGTAAACATACCGTACTATTGATCTTGACTAAGCAGAGGAATTTTTATAACTATTAGTGATAATTGCATTCAACAAACGAGTGTTCTCTATGCAGCATAATTATTTAAATATTAGCAGTAAATACATTCCACAAGCGACTGTTCTCTATGCAAAGGAATTATTTGAACATTAGTAGTGATTATGTTAAACCAGCAATTAATATCTATGCAGATAAATTCTTATTACTGGTAAATACTTTTAACAAGCGCTTGTGATTTATGTAGGGGATTCAAGAAACTTATTCTTTTATCCCATGTTCAATTTTCTTGATGTTGTGTGTTTGATTTTATATGTGTAATTTGCTGTTTGACCAGTAGATGGCTGTATTGTGCTAGTTTGACCGACAGTTCATTTGAATCATTTGAATTAGAAAACCTGATGTGTTTGTACGTTTGTACATAGTAACATTCATTTTCTTGTATGGAATATGTGCTGGGGGAAGCAATGATTCGTGTTTTAGTTCGTGCGTACGAACTACCGTTCGTTTAACTGAGAGCTCTATGTGAGTGAATGCATGCGGTCGCATAGATCCCCCGTTCGGTAAGTATGTGTGTTCGTTTGTTTTAGGATTGTTTTAAGAGTTTTAAGTGTTTGTTGCTGGGTGCCTGGCGGCCGACCCGGAAGTGTGGACAGGTGCCCCTGGAAGGACCGTTATAGAGCATGTGAATTTTCCTCTGGGCGCTGAGTAGGCACTGGTAGTGCCGTTTTTCGGGTTGCTGAGTCTGTTGTAGGCGGTCTGTGGAGCGAGGGCCTGAAAGGTAGCCTGGGAGATATCCTGGTAGTCTCTGGACCTGGAAAACTGCGCAAAGAAATCCTACAGGTGCAAACCGGAACCGAAAGTGACCAGTGGACGTCAGCCCAGTATGGAGGAAGGTTTGAGCTTATATAGGCGGGTCAATCTCCTCCCACAACTCTGGGCTCCGCCTTCCCATATATATATATATATATATATATATATATACACATACATACATACTTATATATTATTATTATTATGATATTTATAGAGCTCCGTCAAAGTCCGCAGCGCTTTACAATGGGTGGACGAACAGACATGTAGTAGTAACCAGACAAGTTGGACACACAGGAACAGAGGGATTGAGGGCCCTGCTCAATGAGCTTACATGCTAGAGGGAGTGGGGT